ATGCAGCTGACTTGAAATTTGAATGATGTTGTTGTTGATTGTCATTGTGATAGTGATGAAGTATGCAACTAGAGGTGAAGTCTTTGAGAGGATATGTAATGGTGCAATTTATTAAAAAATCTTGAGGGATCAGGAAAGTAAAATAATGTTCATGTTTTTGAAATTCGTCTTGAATCCTGTGATAAAAGCATTATTGTTTTTTATGATAGTTGTAAGTTGTAACAATTTATGTGATAATTATCTTTTCAGATTTTGCTTCCATTGAAGTTGCGGAGTTACAATTGTGGTTGCGGCATTACGAGCATTGTGGTAGTGACATGGGGAAAATTCTTTGATCCTATAACTACGATGCTGACATGGGGGAATCGACAACAATGCCTGTTATTCAACCATTCAGTCTCTTCCTAGACTACAGATCACCTTCTGTTTAAATCCATTCAAAACTATAAGATCTCACTATATGTTGTCTTCACTCTCTATTATTACACTCAAGGCCATGTTATTCTTTGTACGTTGGAATGAAGAAGCAATCTCAAGATGCAATCTCTTTTCCTTTCCTCCCAGGTATTACACTCAGGTTTACAACGTACAAAGAACAACATGGTACTATTCTCATTGAGGTCTTACTATATGGTGTTATAGTTGTTGTAAGAACTTAACCCCAATTTTTTATATTGTACTAAATCATATTAAAATTTTGCTGTTGATTCCATCAGTTTGATTGATAATAATTGGATTCTCTTGTATGATCTGAGCTTGAGATTAACATTATGGCCATCATCTGAGATGCAAGTAACCGGCGTTTGCAAAATTTGTTTTATAATTAACTATGTTTTTGTTTAAACTTGCCAGCTTTATGATTTATATGAAAATGATTTGATTTTTGATAAGTTTGAGTGTTGTCTGAGCATTGTTGAACTGCAGGTAGCAACTGGTTCTTACAGGTCTGTGATACAAACTTAATTCATAGTTCAATTGATAAAGGTAGTGAAATTGAACATGAAGAATTCCTTGCTACTTGGTAAGCCTAGAGCGCCATTATGAATATTTTATTGAGTAAAAAAGTTTGTTTAGTATGAATATATTATTGAATTCTTCAGAAGTGATGAGGTAAAGCTGCTATTGCATTATTGACATTGCAGTGATAAGGTAATCAGAGGGATTGTGACACTCAGTGACGTCTATTGTGACACTCAGTTGTTGTATTTTGTACTACCAGCACAATCGATATCGACATCTATAAAAGGTGTTTCTCTATTGCTGATACCTGCAATGTTTCAAATGAAAGGTACTTCTTTAAAAATTATGCCAGTTTGTTTTATTTGCTTTTCACTGCATACTCTGTATTACTTATTCGTTTTTTCCCGTTACAGTTTGCATTTTTTCCATGTAGGTTGCTTACACTTTACTTTCCTCGGGATAAACACGAGGAGGAGGTGGCTTTGTCAAAGCTTCCTGCAGATGTTGGGGATGAGAATGGTGAGACTACCATAGATGAACGTAAAATCAGAATAAATCCTTTGCCTAAAAAAAGGGTCCAAAACCTTCTCAAGAACCAGTTGATCTTCCTGTTAGTGATGTTGGCATGTTTCGCAGGTCAGTAATTTTTAGTAAGAAATTTTTTCATATTTTATATTTCACTCTAGATTACTTTTTCATATTTTATATTTTAGTAAGATATATTATATTTCATTCAAGATTACTTTATTTTCCCCAAACATTAGTTTTTCCACTGTATTTGAATGAAGGAATATCCATTATTAAAATTTTACTTGGTGAATATTCCTGATTAATGTTGCTTTTATAGGACTTCATCATATTTAGATTCATTTCTAGATCCTGCCTTCATGTCTTTGATTAAAGACCCTGATGAAAGACGTCTGGAACAGTGGGAGAAAACTGTTCAAGCACAACGAGGCTGGAATTTTGCCAAATTTCTTGGATTCGGTGACCTAGGTGGACCACCATTGTCTGCAGCTGAAGAATAGTCTCTGCACTCTAGATATCTGTCTAAAGCAAAATCCTTAAATCTATGAAATTGCAGAAATGAAAATTGTGTAAGGGTCTTATTTCGTCGCCTTTGTTTTGTATACTTTGATTACTTTTAGCTCCATAATTACTTGAGATATTTGCTTACTTCATTGTATGAGTTTTGATTCTGCATCAAACTACCTCCTCCATATTTCCTTCAACGATAATGACATCGGCATCACCGCAACGCAATGTTCAGCTACCGATTAACAGCTCACACTTTTTGGTAACATTTCGAACTGAGAATGTCGTTACAAGTTTGAACCGTTTTATGTTGTGACTCGATGTTGTTTACTGTCTATGGCCTACTTCTTCGTTTGCTTTATACATTGTCTGTTTTTTTTGTTAAAAATCAATGGTTGATGTGTATTAAGAGCAATGTTGGAATGATACAATATATAACACAGGCAGTTATGCTGACTATGTTTTCAGTTCAATATATTTCCTGTTATCCTGCATATATATTCATTTTTCTACTTTGCAAAACTACAAAGTTGCCAGTAATTACGCGTTGATTCGATTTTTCGCGTGAATGGAGTTTGGTCTTTGGCTCACTGTGTGTTTAGTATACAGGGAATCAATTGTATTTCTATTTTGATTTAGTTGAAAATTCTATGATTATTATGTGTGTAATACTGATTATGTGTTGAGTTATGCTTATGCATCCTCTACCGTGTCGGTTTTGTTTTTCTGATTGAAAGATTTAGTTCAAGTTACAGGTTGCAATTTAGTGTAGGGTTGTTTCTTTGCCCGATTTTATGACAGTAATTTGTTATGTGTACTGAAACAGACATTGTTGGATCGGTGGTGCCGCCGTGGTTTGTATTTAAACAATAAAATTCTATTTTGGACTTTTAGGCTATCGCGGCGAAGGTGGAATTCATAGGAATAGCGAGGGGGAGCAGTATATGGAATGCTATGCTACCACAACAAATGTTCTTGCTTCCAAAGATGTTGTTTCACAATCGATGACTATGGAGATTCGGGAAGGTCGTGGTGTAGGTAAGCTAGCTTTTTCATTGATATATCCAATGTATTTATAAAAAGTTTTGGAAAAGTCAGGACGCCACTGATTGTTGGTAATTGTAGCAACAATGATTAATGGTAGCATGGGGTTTAAGCTATGTAAATTGTTTGTCAGGTTTTATTTTCAAGAGATTTTGGAATTTCCTATAAATGAATGTATTTTCTAATCTTGAAGAGACCAACTATTGGATGCGCAGACAGTCAGAGGTAACTGTTTAAATTTGTGTGCCTTATCTTGCAGACAGGCAAAAGTTCTGGAGATGCTGGTGGTGCTGCTGACAGGGTTTTGAATCAACTGCTTACAGAAATGGATGGAATGTCGGCAAAGAAAACTGTTGTTTCTGTCGTGAAAAGGTTTTCGTCAATGTTCCAGTTATTGCCAATGTTTCAGTCATTTGAAACTATTAATGTGAATTCATTCCCTTTATCTACTAAAATTTATATATATGAAACGTCCTCCAGCAGAATTAAATATGACCAATACTTATGTTATTTTGTATGTATATAATGTTTTAGTTATTAATTGATCATGCATAGTATATATACCTGGTAGCACTTGGCATCATGCTTAGTATGTATATATTGTGTTAGTTATTAATTGATCAATAAGTCATATAATATTCATCTAAATATATTTTAAGTTTGTGGTAAGTCTTAAAGAGTTGTATCTGCTGTTATTCATTATTATGCATTTGTTACCTCACCTGTTTATTTATATAATTGGAAAGAAATCATCACAAATCACGTACAATTCTTCAAAGTTTTATGTATTTATATTATTGATATTTTTGTTTATCTTTCATCTTCTACATATATTATCACTTCAACTTAATTTTACTATTATTCTTAAGTTTTAATCATATTATTATTCTTAAATTTACTATTGTTATTTAGTTTCATTTGTTTTTGGTCTACCTATTGATTAATATTTTTTGTTTAATATTTTCAATCATTATTACATTATTTGAATTTATATCAATAATTAATTTATTTCCTTCTTTTACAACACACAACATTTTCTTATACTTACCAATTCAATTTTTTAATTTCAATCATATCTATTTTTATAATTTTATCATTGTTCTTTTCAATTTGATTAATAATTATGCGTCTATAATATAAAATTCTCGAACAGACAGACTCGTGCGAACGCACGAGTTAGTTACTAGTTATTGTCTAAAAAAATATGAAAGGTTTGAGGTGTACAATAGAGGAAGATCTAATGTTTTATAATTTATTAATTACGCTATTAGCCTTTAGCTAGTACAAAACATTTTTAAGACAAAGGTTATATTAGTAACTTAAGATGTATTAAATTTTGATAGATATATAATCATGTCTAAGAAAATGTGAAAGGCGTGAGGTGTCCAATAAAAGAAGATCCATTATTTTAAAATTGGTTAATTATGTTATTAGTCTTTGTTAGTACAAAACATTTTTAAGACAAATGTTATATTAGTAATTTAAGGTGTATTACATTTTCTTAGATATATAGTTATGTAAATAAATAGTCAAATGTATTTGGCAGAAATTTGGACTAAATATATTTTATCTTTTTTTTTATTTGAGAAAAAAGGGAGTAAAAAAATATATTTTATAAAAAAAAAAGTACTATAGAGAATAAAAATTTATGAGAAAGATAGAGAATGAAACTATAGAGGACATAGAGGACGATACATATAGGATGGTACAAAAGATTCAAATACAGGGAACGAATAAAACATTATTGAAATTTGATTTTAATTAGGTTTTTCTCAAAATTGATCGATGGTGTTAAATCCCTAAATTTAAAACCCAAATCGAAACAAATTCAAATTATTTATGAAAAAAATTCTAAAATCACGCAACATAAATCCCTAATATAGTAATAAGATTTCATAACATTGAATTGTTTCCTTATTTTAAACCCAAAAATACAATGAGGCTCATATGTTGCAATCTACTTAACTTTGAACAATGAACATGGGTTTCTTTGCAAGAAGAAGCAAAGATGAAGCTGCCTCAATTTCATCTTGGAGCTCCTTCAATGAAGTCTTCACTTTTTGAAGTTCCTTCAAACTAAGATTTGTAGGGACAATATGGACTTTATCTTTTTCAATATCTTCCAACTTCTTTTCCTCCACCTGAATCTCTTTTTTCAAACCTCTAAGTTCCAGGTTGAGGTTATCGATCTCTCCATTTTCAAGAGGCTCGCCGCCTCCTTCATGAAGATACTCATCAATCACAGCTTGAAAAGATGGAGAACCAAAAGTAAATGGATTACCACCAGGACTGAATCCAAGCAATCCTACTCTAGCACCACAAAGAATGGATAAATCACTTGCTTTCTTAAAGAGACCATGCCTTCTTTTAGAAAATGTGACATTCCTAGCTTCTTTGTTCTTCAACAATTTCATCTCTATTTTTTTTCGACCCATAGTTTTATAAACTCTACCTTTGTCGGTTCAAAGAATCATTTCTTAGTAGAAATTATGAAAGAGATAAGACCATATTTAAAGAGGAAAGTTATGCTTTACCTTAAAATAGGGAAACTTCCAATGTACGCCTTGACTGCCTATGATAAATAAATTCAATATAGAAATAGTATTTAAAATTTTATGTTTTTTTTTTTTACATTTAAACTATTAAAATTGTTTTTAATATGTTTTTTATATTTAAATTCTTTATAACATGTAATGTTTTCTAAAGGAACTCTCTAGTATTTACTATAACAAGAAATACTAAAAAACTAAATATTAAAATAATTATTAATTTTTTTAAAAAAATTTACGATTAAAATAATTGTGGCTTTATAGGAATCTGTGAAATTGTAAAACACTCGTGTTTATGTGAGTGTTTTATAGGAATCTGTGAAATTTTAAAACAGGTGAGTGTGCCTAAATATAAAATATTTAGGTTTGCGTCCAAGCTAGCATTTCTCACAATGTCTCACACAATTAGAAAATTTGTGTTTAGTGACTGAACTGGTGAATAAAAATTTTAGATTACTCTAGATATTGAATTAGCCACCGAAATTTAAAATCATATTAGTAAAATTTTAAAAGTAATTAATTCGGTCACAAGATATAATTAGTCATCGAATTAACGACTGAAAATTTGTGAATGTAATATTCAATCTAAAAAAAATATTTCTATATAAAATTAATTTTAAAAAAATCAACGACCGAAATTTGGATCACAGATCATTTATTTTTTTATTAAGTTATGATTTTCCTCTCAATTTTCTACTATCTTATTTTAATATTTTAGTTTCTTCCCAATTTTTAATTAAATTTTACATTTTTATTGTTTATATAAATAAATATATATTTATATTTAAAAAGTTGATAGCACAACTTCATTAATTTTAAAAAAAATGTAATTTAAATAACATTTAATGTAATACACTTTTTAAATAATGTTTAAAATTTTTTTTTTAATAATATATACAAATTTTAATATGTATTTAACAAATATGAAGATATGTACCATTGGTCATGCGTGTAGTTGAGACCTTAAAGGAATATGTTCAATTCTCGCATAGTTTATTCTCATTAAAGACGGTCACAAATTCAGTCTCTATTTGCACCACAAATTCGATCGTTAAATTTTGATCATTGTGTATCTCGCTAAAGGTTAACGACTAATATTTTTCCAATCGAAAAATAATAGTTGCTTTATTGGTCGCTAAACCTTATAGTAACTGATATTCTCATTAAAGACGGTCACAAATTCAGTCTCTATTTGCATCACAAATTCGATCGTTAAATTTTGATCATTGTGTATCTCGCTAAAGGTTAACGACTAATATTTTTCCAATCGAAAAGTAATAATTGCTTTATTGGTCGCTAAACCTTATAGTAACTGATTTTTAATATTTTTTATATCTAATTTGACCACTAAATGTGAATTTTTTATTAGTATCACTTTTTTTAGTTACATTCTTAGAGTGTGAGGTAATCCCTGTAATTTTCCAATACAAAATACTACAAAAAAAAAAATAATATGAACGGTTACAATTTGAATTGTCATCATGTGTGTAATTCAAGATTTCAAATCTTTCACTGACAATTGTAAACTATGCTAATCAACTTGAATTCATAGCTAAAAAAAACTTGAAAAAAATACAAACAACTTATTATACCAAACACACCCTTAATTATTTTATGAGAGATCCAGATTCTTACACAAATGTATAGTGGATATTTGATGATAGATTCAAATTCTTATAAAAATTTAAATTTTGTTCTTTATGTTGTCTGATTTGTGCACATATTTGTGAGTTATTATAATTTTAAGGTGCAAGCACATGATTCAGATGTCATTGTTGATGAAGAAAATTGTGTGTTTTTCCTTTTGCATCTTCCAAGAAGCCAAATTGTTGAACTTCCCCTTTTCCTTTTCGTGAAAGGAATATGTAACAAAGAAAACAGAAGTCACCCAAAACCTAATGTTGATTTTCCAACGACGATCCAGTAGGTGTACGTGTGTGTTAAAAGTAGTGGAAGTGCGATGATTGTAACATCCACATATAATATACATCTAGAATAATATTATAATGGAAGTTAAGTTAGTATTGATACAAACATCAGTGCCTAACCAACAACTGATCATATTCCAAAACATACACGAAGGTGCAAAATAAGATACATGATATTAAAAAAGTGTCCATAATATGCTAAGTGTAATATATTGGATAGTAAAAGAAACAACTTCTTTATCAGAGCCTTCAAGTCGCTTTACCTTTTCCTTTTTCATGCCTCCAACCTCCTAAAAAAATCAATAGAAACATAGGGTGAGATACTAATCTTAGTGGGTTCCATATCTTATGGGTCCACTCGGCTCTACAGGGATACTAGTTATCTCAATGTTCTACTAATACTACAATCTTGTGGTTTCATACAAAATCGAAGATTAAAGCACATCAACTTCATGTACAAGTGGGATTTGGCCTCCTACTAGTCCCTGGCAAGAGAACTAAGGAGCTACAAATTTTAACTAGGTTGAATCAAATATGTGAGAAACCAATCCAATGTCTAAGGGTGGTGTCTCACTTTTAGGACCGAATTCCCTAAGATAAATAACTAAAGAATATTTCATCGCTTATGGGATTGGATACCCTCAAAGAAATAACTTAAATGGTGTCGCACTTTTGGGATTGGACACCCTCAAAGAAATAACTTAAGAAATCTTCTATGTGTCTAACTTTTGGTATTGGATACCCTTAGAGAAATAACTCAGAAGTTCCCTCTCGACCTACCTCAGGGCTTAGTCGCCTACGTTTTGAACTATAAACTCGCAAAGACGTAGGAGTCGAAAATCTACTTAGGAAATTATACAATCTCAAGAGTAAGTCGAGTCTATCAGAAATGAAGCATACCACTTTCGATTGACCTCCCCTTAAGGTTACTTTTCACCCTAGAGTTACTCACTCATAAATCATATTTTAGATAACACATGTATGAGTATGCATCTAATGCGTCTAAAGTGTTAACGTAGCCAAAACCATTACATTAGTAACTAAAATATTATGATTCATAACTAGGGTACGCATACATTCTCCTTACATTTAGAATTTTGTATCTCACATACCTTCATAGTTGAGTATCTAAGTGTTTTCTTCAAACTACCGTGATGTTACAAGAACACCATCTAATTTACAGCTCAATCTAGGCTAATGTTAAACAAAACCCAAAAAAACAGCCTGAAATAGAATATGCAGGGCTGCAACACGACTTACCCGTGTTAGAGGACACTACTTGTTTCACCCTCAGGTCATCTCATACCCATGACACGACATTCTCGTGTCACATGACATAATCCGAGTCAGCTTTAGGATCCCTCTCCATACAAAAATCCGAAAGCGACACGGCCAACCTGTGTTACATGACACGACCCGTGTCATCTTCAGTATTTTAATGTTTCTCACTTGTGCAACTTTTCACACTATCAACTCTTTTGAACATGCATCAAACCCAATCTATAGCCTGCAAACAACAAGAGTGTGTAATTGAGATATGCGTAAAGTCTTGTTAACAACAATTTCTCATTCAAACATGTATCATGATGAATCTTTCTAACTCTAAGCACGCACTTTAATTCATCATCAAGAAGGAACAAGAAGTCCATATAATAAGCAACATATTAGGGTAGTTCATGCAAGAAATCAACTTGTAGTAATTTAAGGATCAAACATAGCACACATGGAACATTTAATTGCACCACGCGTCTAATTGCACCGGAATTTAGAATCCAATACCCCTTCTCACACATGCACTTCAACCTAACATCATTTATACCCTAAGAGAAATGCTACCTATGAATCCACCTCAAGAAAGATTATGAATTTGCTCTAGAAATGGATGAACCTGATGGAAGAGATGATGGCTATAACTTTGGTTTGAGCACTCCACACATGCAAATCACTTGGTGAAAGGAATATCTAACAAAGAAAATAGAAGTCACCCAAAACCTAATACTGATTTTCCAACGAAGATCGAGTAGGTATACGCGTGTGTTAAAAGTAGTGGAAGTGTGATGATTGTAACATCCACATATAATATACATCTAGAATAATATTATAATGGAAGTTAAGTTAGTATTGATACAAACTTAAGTGCCTAAGCAACAACTGATCATATTCCAAAACATACACGAAAGTGCAAAATAAGATACATGATATTAAAAAAGTGTCCATAATATGCTAAGTGTAATATATTGGATAGTAAAAGAAACAACTTCTTTATCGGAGCCTTCAAGTCGCTTTACCTTTTCCTTTGTCATGCCTCCAACCTCCTAAAAAATTCAATAGAAACATAGGGTGAGATACTAATCTTAGTGGGTTCCATATCTTATGGGTCCACTCGGCTCTACAGGGATACTAGTTATCTCAATGTTCTACTAATACTACAATCTTGTGGTTTCATACAAAATCGAAGATTAAAGCACATCAAATTCATGTACAAGTGGGATTTGGCCTCCTACTAGTCCCTGGCAAGAGAATTAAGGAGCTACAAGTTTTAACTACGTTGAATCAAATATGTGAGAAACCAATCCAATGTCTGAGGGTGGTGTCTCACTTTTGGAACCGAATTCCCTAAGATAAATAAGTAAGGAATAGTTCATCGCTTATGGGATTGGATACCCTCAAAGAAATAACTTAAATAGTGTCTCACTTTAGGGATTGGACACCCTCAAAGAAATAACTTATGATTTCTTCTATGTGTCTAACTTTTGGTATTGGATACCCTTAGAGAAATAACTAAGAAGTTCCCTCTCGACCTACCTTAGGGATTAGTCGCCTACGTTTTGAACTACAAACTCGCAAAGACGTAGGAGTCGAAACTCTACTTAGAAAATTATACAATCTCAAGAGTAAGTCGAGTCTATCAGAAATGAAGCATACCACTTTCGATTGACCTCCCCTTAAGGTTACTTT